AACTAACCATTTCTATTAATGCCACACATAAAAGGAACAGGCATGCCTATCTGGGATTAGTACCATGTTTCTCAGTTCCCTTACGCCTACTTCAATAAAAGATTGCTGCAGTCACTCCGCAGTTTTTGACCTTCTACTGGCGGGACTGGGAAAGTTTCTGTTAGAGAATAAAGAACAGTTCTGCAAAAAGCACCAGTGTAGGAGTGCCATTGGGATTCATTTGGACTAGTAGAAATCACAACAGAAGCAGCACAATTATTGAGCAAGATGAGAGAAAGGAAGAAAAGTCCTGTGAATTTTCTGGTCAGTTTAGAGTTAAAGAAACTGGTCAAAAGCCATAGCCAATAAAAAGAAGAAAAAAAAAAAAAACTATAATTTCATGCAAATTTAATAAACATATGCTCCAGACTACCTCATACCAGATCCTGAATTATGTAAACTGTGCATCATTCAACCTACAGTTCTGCCTTTGGCTACACAGCCATATTCTCAAAGGCATATACACAGTAATGGAAACAAAGGAAACTTTATTGTCTAGGGAAGGCTAGACGCCAAGTAATGAGATGTCCATTACGAGAAAGGGGAGGAAAAAAAGTCTGGCATCTTTCTAAGAATGAAGCCAGCAATCACAGATCAACCTCTTCTCATAGCATTCTGTGCAATACTGCACACAATGATCATTTTACACAGGGTAACTGGGACTTTTTATACCAAAGTACTGTAGCTCAGTTCAGAGAACTCCAGCCAAGAGGATGCAGAAAAAGACACTCTCTCAAACCAGTCCACAAGAAAAGGAACAGCGTGCTGAACAGAGAAGCAGTAGAAAGCTGAATAACACCTTCATCCTCTCCACTAACCCCTCTGCTCCAGCTCTGCAGAATGTTACAGCAAAGAACCCAAGTCCCAGGCTCTGCTGATAAATGGATGTAAACTGGGACTTAAGTTTCTGCTCATAAAAATCCTCACTAGCTACTGCATCTCTATAAACCATCTCACTGCAGCAGCACTCAGAATTCACAGTCTGTTACTCCTATTTTCAAACAAAGTCTCTTGACTTTTAAACTAAGGAAAGTTCCTGCCTTTTGAATGGCATAACATGCAACACTACCAAGAAAACTAAATTTGCATCCAAACAACAGGGAAGATATTTGCTACTTACTGCCAGCACAAGCCAAGGAGTGCTCTGCTGGTCACTTACTACAATGTTGCACCTAACACAGGCAGTATTCTGCAAAGGGTAATAAATGAAGATCAGAAGCAGAGAAATACCATTTCAATGTGATCAATTTCTTATCTAAATATTTTAAATACAGAGCATGCGAAGAATCTCCAAAAGAATTTTAAAGTATTTTATTCTGGGCAATTAAAGTGATATAATGTGCTGTCTCAGCTAAAGGCTCTCCTTTCTCATGGTGTTATGCTGACACTGTCTGCCAAACTCTTTAATCTAGGCCCTGTAACCGGCAAGCCCCAGTTTTGCTCAGCTCCACCAGCCATTTGCTAATCGATCAGTCCGCAGATTCCCCCAAACACCAGAAGAGCAGTCCCAGGGAAGGTTTTTCCCCTCTAATCAAGCTGGGCACTATGGGGTCCTGTGCTCTTAACTTTCACTACCTTTTCCTCCTTTCATTCTCAGCTGCTTAAGCAACACCTTTTATCCCCTGTAATTGAGCCTGCTTTCCAGATTACCCTCAGGTTTAACCCCTTCCACTACCACCTAAATTACCTTTGCACTGAATCGCAAAAACTCTCACTTGTTCAGAAAATTCTTTATAAAGACAGATAAAGCCTACAGCTTTGTCATCTCCTACTCTCTTCCCCCAGTAAAATTTTCATTTGAGAACTGCAATGAAATGACTGAATATTGTTTAACTGCAGTGTTTTGCAGATGAAACAACAGCTGAAGCGTTTTTTACTCCCGCAGCACACAAATTTATGTAGCTACACAACAATAAAGCAAAGTCTTAAATTTAATCAGAAGAAATACTTCAAGCAATGGCAAGCTGTTAAATTATTTAGAAAGGGGCTCAATAAGACCTGGAAGGAAATATGCATCAGCTGTGCAGCCTGGGAGCTTCCAGAAACAAAGAATTTTCATGCTTACCCCTTTTAAGGCTTTTTCATATAAGCTATTTGTATTTAACAAAAACAGGCGTGTATTTGAACAACATCCTACAAATTATAAGCAGACAAGCACTGCACTAGTAGTGATGTCACAGGACTTCCCACTCAGCGTTTATTACTGACATGATCCATTTACCAGTAGTTAGCACCATTTGTACATTCACAGTAAGATATTGACGACAGGCATTTCCTAGTGTAAGGATTGACAGTGACAGCCCAGTAATATTGGCTATTTCAGAAGATTTTAATGACTTGGTCTTTTTTTCAGACTGCCTAGTTTTCCCCAAATCATCTTCCTTCCATCAATTCTTCAACAATTCCAAAACACTGAGAAATAGACAAAACTAGATGTATTAGTATTTATATGAAAGGTCTAGGAAATTCAATAATGTTCCTATTGTTTTATTGCAGATGGCACATCAACTTCTCTTTATTACTGCAGAAAACTCAAGAGCCCTGTAGAGTGCAATAAAACGGTACGTGTATAGCTTTGTAATGTTTCAAAGGGCTGTGATTTACTGTTCAGAACCAGGCACCTTGCACACAAACATCTGAGCTCAGTAATTGCCTCATGTTTTGTGCAAACTCTACAAGGCAGCGTGAGGTCGGCCCACACAGGGTACCTGCTGCTTCTAGATGCCTGTCCCTCATTCCCCAGTAATATGGACTCCATTATTAAACAACAGAGAAAAAGGTTCGTTTTCACCTTTGCATCAAGATGTTTTACTCTTCTATTTGATTTCAGACACTATTTGAATTTTCTGCCAAATTCTTCGGCTGCTAGAGAGAGATTTTAAAAAACTGTCAATGTACCTAGAGGAAAAACGCAAGAGTAAATTCTCTTGTCTTAAATATATAGCATATATGCTTCAAGAGAAGTCCTTCTTATATAAATATACTTACAAAACACTTCAGAAAAAAGCATACCCACAGATGATTATCCACAGATTTAATAATGTAAACATTTCACCACTAAAACCAATAAGACTCCTTCAGGTAATACATTCGGCTTTTACTGAATGATAAACTCACTTCTAGTCAGTCAACCCTGAATAAGGCAGCAGGGAAGTATCGCACAAAGGCAAGAAGTAAAGAACTGGTACAAACTGTATTTACATTCAAATTGCTCTGAATATAATATTATTTCCATCAAGTTTGAATTAGAAAGTAGAAGAGGAACTTGGAACGCATACAACAAACTACTTCACCAACAGCCTTTAACAACACACGTGCCAACAACCCTTTTTTCAGTGAAAAATATTCTCAGCAGTGTCTGGCAAAAGAAAAGTTTGTATTTACTACTGCAAAGATAATCTCAAAGCCACCTGTCCTTTATCTGAAGGTATCAGTCCTTCATGAATGAATGGAAGACTTGGGGGGGGGGGAGCGGGAAAAGAATAAAAACCCAAGTTCTCTATCTCCCTGTAGGAACAGGGATGTTCAGAGCTTCTAGGTTCCAGACCCAAACAAAATATCAGCAGTGGCAATCTATCTTTATTGATTCTATAAACTACAAAGAAACTACTAAATGAATGTAACCCATCACAGTTTAAATAGAAGGACTGATTAAAAGTACTTAAGGGCACTGCTAACACAAAGGCCTTCTCAACCAGTCGTCCTCTACAGAGGACAGGGAAGTACCAGTAACTTTTCCAATTGCAGACCGTACTCTTAAACTATATACTAACAGACATTATAGAGACATTCAGTAGATTATTTATACATTAAATAAGGTAGTGAGCGATGTTAGAAATAGAAAATATAGTCCTGGTGCTGACAAAAGTGCACATAATTATTATTACTGAAGACAATCTAAAAGGAAGACAAGAAATAATGCCTCCCTAAAAACTGAAGGCCAGGTTAGCATGCATGCCACATCATAAGGAAAAAAAAAGTTAAAGCAAATCTACAGGCAGGTTCATTCAGTGAAGTTACTACTTCTGTTTGGGTTACACATTACACACTTATAATGATAAATTTATGATTTAATAGTCAATAGTCCACGTACTTTGAAGAGGAATATTTTTACCCCAACTGCCTCAAGCATACAGATAAGGACATGAACATACCAGGGAATATTAACAGTGAAGACAATTCTACAGTTTGGGTTTTGTATCTATTTGGAAAACTCTGCAGACTTCAAATTTCATTCTTTAGATCTTTGTGTAGTTTATTTACTGAGACACATGAAACTATGGACATTGAAATATCCAGAAGCAAAACACTTCCCCAATGGTGAAAGAGTGAGATGTTACAAAACAGGAAATAAATAGTCAGTTGCTTGCATGTTTCTTTAACTCCTGCTTTGTGTTACTACCATTCAAAACATTCATTTTCAAAAACATATACACACATTATACTTTAGTTAGAATTAGCAGTTACCAAAGCTCTGAAATCATGTTTTACAACAAAGCCAAAAGCCTTCCTCAGCTACTAACTGTACAGCATTCATTTGTTCCAAAAGATAAAAACAGTACTGATGAGTGCTGGGACACAGTTTTGAACTACCCAAGGCCAAACACATTTTTATAACAGAAGAAACTATAAACTCAGAATGAAAAACTTCAGAACATCTCAAAAACACAATAAAGTCAGCGGAACCTAAATTTAAAAAAATCACGGTAGGACTTAGTACTTTAAACAAATACCCCAGACATAATCAAAGAAAGTGCTAGCCAAGAGGGGCATCAGCTAGAAAGCTATCAAGTTTGACAGCCTGCAAGAATTTATTCACGCTGATGGATGAAGGAGGCAACAAATGCTGCAAGAGCACCTCGCCACGTAACAGACACACATCTTAGCTTTCAGCCGTTGAATGTTATCACAAAGGAGTATCATATCTATAGCTGCAGAGGGGAAGCCCAAGGAATACTTACTCTTGGCTGCCAGTTTTCATACTGCTTCTGTAAGTTTGCACCAATTGTTTCCAGAGCTTTTTGAGGACCCATTGACAGAGGATCTAGGAAATATAATACAAATGAGTATTTTTGACCACAACTGAATCACTCAGCTTGACAAGAGGCAGAAATTATTTCCAATTCTATGTGCATTTAACCCTTTAGCTACTCCACATTATGTTTCTGTAAAATCCAGATCTACAACCTGGGAGATCAAAGTCTACATCAAAGCATAAACACCACCCCCCTTTGCAGAAGAAAGAAGCCAAAAGCTTTCCACACTTTCCCTCTCCAGTATTCTGCTTGCAAGAAAGATCATTTAATGATATTTTAATGCAGGTTCCTTTCATGCATTCAATTTCAAATTCATAAACATTACATTCTTCATGGAATTTACTTGGGTACAATATCCAAAAATTATCCCCAAATTCTTCACTCAAGTACAAATTAAATACCATTAAAGACTATCAAATCTGGAAGATTTCTCTCACTAAGGTAATAAATGCAATTTTATTTTGAAAGACAGGAGAGGCATTACATTTGTTTCTTTTAATATTGAAAAAAGGTTTCTATAGTAAATAATGACAAAAATTTAAATTGGTGAAATATGTGATGATAAACATTTTTTCTTGATGAATGCAAAATCCCGCTTCATTTACTTCCATTGCTTCCTGCTTCAGAGATTATATGCCATTTGTAATTTTTAAGAAGTTAATTTCATCACTAGATAATTGCCACCATCCATACACACCAATACAATTTCAGCTTATGTGCTTTATTCAAAAAACATGGCCATATAATTGACACTATTCATAAGTTTCAAAAAAACCTAGAAGCTAATATTTTACAATTTAATATAAATTATTTTAGAAGCACTTAACCAAAACAATGAAGTTTGGGGTTTTTTTTAATCTTTACAAATATTCTACCTTGTACTGTTAGAAACAAAATATAATAAAGTAGGATGAAAGCAGGATTTTATGACTTAATTTTCCTTAAATTAATAAAAGCTAGGATCCTATTTAAATTTTAGTATACTTTTGTAGAAAGATTTAAGGTAATGTGAGTATACCATTTACCTTTTTTCAAAACAAACACAAACAGTAGTAAATTGTCTGCTCAGATTTCAAGAAGCCTGTCTACTGCCTTTGGCTGAGCTGCAGCTGTTGTTCTAGAAGCCTCACCAGAGCCGTCTCCAGGACAGAATGAGCACTCGCTCCCCACTACAGACCCTGCTGTTGCAGCACTCACTGACATACCTTTTAGAAATATATATATATTAGCAGTCTTTGTTGCTCTGAACTGCAACAGTCCCCTTGCTATTTAAGGTGAGCTGATACTCTTGAGATTTTGAACAGTACTCCCCCAAAAATATTCACACTGCCTTGTAACATCTTTTGTTAGTTAATATGCCTTTAGCTACTGCTCAAATTAAAAAAAAAGGAAACAAAAAAATAGCATAAACACACCAGAATTTTGAGTCCTTCAAAAGGACCAAACTGAAGTTCAGAAAAAGAAATTAAAAATACTTCACACGCACTTTCACAGCAGAGGAATGTAGTTTGTGGACTCTGGAGTGCCTTCAGAGCAATTAGCATTATTAACAATACCCTTTATACAAAAACAAAGTACACTGGTGCCATTCCAAGAGCCAAACAATGGAAATTAATTATTTTTCTAAATATAGCTCATGCCACCACAGTCATTACATGAGCTTTCAGCCTCCCTTGTTGAGTGCATACGTAAGGCTAGCGAACGCCTGCAGATACGCAGGCCAAGATACCGTCGGTATCATCACGGCATGAAGCTCTCTGTGCCTTCAACCGTGCCAGGTTGACACTGTAGCACCGATGTCAGCTAAGGCTTAATTCTGGAGAAAAACAAAACACTTCAGATGTTCTAAAGGTGCATCTGGAAGGTACAGCGAGAACTGCAAGCAGCTTTTGTCTGAGATTGCAATGGCCATTTGTCACCAGAGTTCACAAGCTGGTGATCTCAGCTCAGTTGTAAATAGCAGCAATTGCACCAAAATGATTTCCACACTTCCTTGCACAACTGGCAAAGACATTATGTTTTCCACAATACACACCATTAGCTTCTCTTGAGACTGTTGTATAGAAGAAAAAAACCAGCAGATATTTTTGCAATTACCTTTTTCAGATATTTAAAGTTGGCTAGAAATGGAAATAAGTACTTGTGTATATATACACACTAAAAATTTAATTTAAAAACTGCATTCAAAATTCTTTGTTGATGATAGTCACTAATAACTTTATTTTAATGACTCTGCAACGCTCCTCATTCTCTTTGCTCTGTACTCGTGCATCAATGAGAAATCAGAGCTGTTCTCTCCACTGAATAGATGTATTTGTTAGTGCATGCTCATGGCTTTTTAACTGCTTTAAAGTCATCAGCATTTTTAGGTTAAAAAAAATGAGATGCTATGATTCATAAAGCAGGTAAGGCAAGGTTAGACACGAGATGTTCTGAAAGTTTTTAAAGAAATTCAGTTTGTGCAATGATTAATTTGCTTCTGCAGCCTATCATAAGCCCCAGAGTTTAGGATTATAGTGCTCTGCATGTTACTTGCTGAAGACTGAACATTTTCAACTCCTAGATGAAAAACAAATCTCTCTTAGAAAGCTTTCTTATACAAGGTATTTCCTCCTAATATTACTTCAGATTTGTTTCACCTTGATAATCAGACTTGATCTCCAAAACCAAGGGAACTTTCAATTTATCAACAAAAACCTAGGAATTTAGTCCAATACTGCACCAAAGTAGCAAGCCCAGGTATTGGAACGGCAAGCAAGACATCCTTGGGAATAATTCCAGGTCTTCTGAATTCATGATCCCAATTAAAATAGCCCCAGAGCAGTCACCTCAACATGCAGTAAAGTCCATGCATTTTATAGAAACTTATTTCTGTATTGTATGAGGTAGGGTAATTTTAAACCTTTGCAGATCACAGTACTTTAAAGATGTAACTGCTCAGAGATTTCCTTAGATATTTATAAATCTACAACAATGAAAAGAAAGCTAAGTAGCTAATTAACAGCTTTTTTTCTCTATGCTATCTCATTTTAGAATAAAGCAGGAAAGATGACCTATGGCAGCAGTTACTGCTGGACTCTTAATTAACTCATATAGACAAAGTGAAATCAGATGCCAGATTTCCTTTTGTTCACTGTAGTTTTAAGTCCAGGAAACACACAACTTCAAGATTACTATATATACACTATAACTCAGTATTTATAAAACTAATAGAGTTAGCTGGAGCTTGGAAGTTCTCAAGACTTACCGATCCAACACTCCAGACGGGCACAGGGAGTAGTTTTCACTACATCAGGAGGGTCCACACCGACATTTAGGCACAAAACTAAGGCAACACTAACAGTCTTCATCTGCAAAGACAGACAATAAAATGCTTGCTTAGAAACAAAATCAATTTTCACTCGTGTTGAAATTTTACCACTACTATAACTTTTGAAGGGTTTCAACAAACCTTTGTTATCTGCTCTTTAACATGGACTATTTTAAGCAAGGCATGACTGATTAAATTTTTTTTTAATCAGAACAGTACTTAGACTTTATGTTACTATTTTTATTATTATTTCCAGAGCCCATTCTTCTTTACAGAGCATGGAAATGGATATCAGTGGACTTCTGCTACTCAAATTAGTCACTGTCCAACTGAAATACATTATTAAAACATGAGAATATGCTATTCAGGGTCCCTGATCAATATTATAATATAGTATGTCCTCTCTAATATTAAAACTAAAAGCATTACAAGGGAAAAACACCCAAGTGACCAACCAAACCATAACAAAACGTTTAGTCCATTTTTTTGTTTTGTTTTCTTCCCGTGTCAGTTACCCTGGATAGCCTTATTTTAGGAGAAATCATCACTTGGCTCCCCTTCCTGGTCTTGGCTATAGCTGCTGCTTCAGTACCAGCCCCACAGCCCTGCCCAGGCAGCACGTTCGGCCACGCTGCTGGAGCCACAAGGGGCACCACGAACACAGCAAATCCAAACCCACTGACACCTTGCCTGTGACCGAAAAGCTGCATTAAACCAGTGACTAAGCACTACAGCCAGTTAAAAATATTGCTTGAAAATTATTATTTCACATCCTTATGCTCTTTTCTAAACTCCCTTATCCCAATACCTAAACCAGAGAAGGAAAACAAAAGAAGTAACGTGGCTCACAGTACTTCCATCGAGTGTTCGGCACTCGCTCACTTGTCTGAAGCGAGGCCACCCACATCTCCACTTCCCCAGGGTGCTCATTACAATTCAGAATGCAGGCAAAAAGAAAAAAAAAAATCCAAACTTCACACTTACAGAAAAAGCTAGAGCCACACAAATGTATAATTTATAAAGAAACTAGAAACTGGAGCAGAGAGACACTACTCACACCAAGAAGGGGGGACAGGGTCTACATCAGGACAGAAATTCTGCAGTGTCCACTCACTCCCATGTCTATGATGGGGAACCCGAGTAAAAAATTAGCAAAAAATCTGGTTAATGGCTTCATCCCAAACTATGTTCTTGCTAGCAAAACCCTGCAATCACGTAGGAGTTACTCATCCCCATGAGTTAACAAGGAGGAAGCAGCACCTTCCAGAATACAGATGAACACAAGAGTCTGAATGAGGATTCCCTCACCGGCATTTCACGAGGGTTCCCAAAGGAGTGCACATAGATGGGGTGACAAGGTCCAGAGCTGAAGTTTAGCACTAAGTACACATGCACTAAGAGAACTTTATCAAAATTAGGAACAATACATAGTAAAAGCATAGTTACTGGCAAAATGAGGATTGGCTGCAAGATGCAGCTTGGTCCTCCAAAGCTGAGAGCAGTCAGGTAGCCCTGAGGCAACACCACCAAGACTTGGATGCCTGCAACCAAACCTGGGGGCTCCAGATGGAGAGCAGACGTCTGTGCTGACAACCAGCCTGATTCATTCCTCTCCCCCTGGAAGTCTTTTCCATCCTCTTCCCCCTCTATCTGCTTCCCTTATCTTTGGCTTTCATCTCTCTTTTCACCTCGCTTTCCTTCACTTATTTTATCAACACCAAACTGCTACCCTCAAAAATAAATTGTGCCAGCAATTGTTGACACTTTTCACGTTGTTCACACACATCTTACCCTTCCCTCTCATTTTTTGGTTTAGAAAATTACTTCATCTGGACAGAGGGCAACCGCTGCCCTGGTTTTAGAGAACCCAGCACAAAGATCTCAGTAGTCGTTCACTACAATAAAGACTTCAATAAAAACCATTCTACAACAACTGCAACAAAACCACGATATATTTACAAATGTAACAGGCACATACCACATGGTTCACAAGAAATGCACCCAGTTAAAAAAAAAGCTACTTCAACATCCAAGTATTGACTGATTTACCTCCCAATCCAAACCACACATGGAGAATCCACGACCCACACAAAAGGATACCAGACTTCTTCCCCAGCCCAAGAACCGCATACCACTACGCTAGGAGTTATTTTCGGGAAACAGATACACTGAGGAAACGGCCTCATATTGCACTAAGGGAGGTTTAGATTGGATATTAGGAAAAATTTCTTCACCAAAAGGGTTATCAAGTGCTGGAACAGGCTGCCCAGGAAAGTGGTTGAGTCACCATCCCTGGAGGTATTTAAAAGACGTGTAGGTGTGGTGCTCAGGGACATGGTTTAGTGGTGGACTTGGCAGTGTTAGGTTTATGGTTGGACTCAATCTTGAGGGTCTTTTCCAACCTAAATGATTCTATGATCCTATGATTTTCAAGGTAGCAAAATAATACCCAGCACTAGTAAAAGGAAGAATAGTTCCAAAATTTTTCAATTCATCCAGTACAAAATTTGTATGTTATAAAAACGGACTGATTTTTAAAAGTGATCAGAGGTGGCCTGGAAGCTCCATGCACTTTCAGTTACCAGTACATCCATTACTGGGCTCTGTGAACAGATTAGCTCCTACATGATGGAGGCTGCAGTACGTAAGTGGCAATTGGATGAAAACAGTTCCCTTTAGTCTTAAAACCTAAGGGACAGGCTTTCTACTCAGTAAAGCAGATGTCTGGCATGGGACACTTCAGTGACTTATTTTTCCTCAGCAAGTGCACTTGGCTTTCTTCCTGCTCACCTATTTCATGTACAGTATTAACTATTGCACCAATGAAAACATCATGTTACTTCGATGTTGCAATAAATACTTATTACAACATGCAATTTGAAACCATTCTATTCGTTTTGAGAAGATAACAAAAGATAAGGAAAGAACTTCATTTAGAAAGCAACACCTTTCAAGATTATTATTTAGTGTCATCTTTTCCTGCCTTCCCTTTCCCAAAACCCACAGAATATGTTTAAAACAGTAATAGGCACACAGTTCCTGTTGAGACTTTTGGCTTGACCCACCCATGCACTAGGCAAAAATAAGAAATCAATCATATTTAACAAAAGATCTTAAATAGGTAACACTTTACTATTTCAAGAAGTATAGAAGTGTTATGTACCAACTACACATATTTGTTGAGAATAGTAGTGCTTAGCAGTATAGTCTGGCAGGAAGAAGGAAAAAAGAAAAAAAAAAAAGACGGAAAAGGATAAAAACACCCCAAAAAGCCCCCCCCCCCCAAACATCTGACCATTAACAGAACTACTTGCACTGACTGAGCTTTAACCTGCACACCAGGACACCTTTTCAGTATGCTACATCCACTGCCAGTTCACACAGCCTCAGAAAAAACATGGTACTGCAGGGTGTTAAAGAGCACGAACATCCCCAGAAGTAATCACACACTGGCAAACAGGCACTAAAAACCCAGAAGGAAACAAAGAAAACTACAGGACAAAATAACTTATTAGAAGTGGAAACGCACAAATCATTCTTCCAAGAGAAAGTATCCTGCCAAACAATCTTTTCTGTCTTATTTATTGTTTCCCATTTGTGGTCTAATACTGACTTATTTTTCAATATTTTACTAGTAATGTCTGATCTGTGACTTACGCTGAACAGGCTGATATTTATTTTCTATTCCCAAGTTCGGTGTTTTAAATAAGCATTTCTCCTTGAAAACAGACAGCAAACCAGTAATGAAAAGTAACAGTCTAACTGATCCCAAAGACAAATAGGGTTATTTCCCCTCTGCCTACCTCCCCACAAAGCACATAAAGTATTATACTTCACGACTATTTGTTCTGCTAATAAAGAGCACATCTTCAGTAAGAATTACAGCTCTCTTATACTCCCCTCCAACTCCTACTCAACATCCATCTATGATGTTGAATCATTACAGATCAAAAGAAAACCTGAGCCCAAGAAATCGAATAATGCTTTTCACATTTCTAAACTGTTTTGGAACATACTACCAGAAACTTCATAGCATATTTAAAGCTTCTTAATGCAAGAAGTACTAGGACATTCTCATCTGTTATTACGACAGTGGAAATTTTCTTTTCTACATTTCAACAATATATCCACCAGAATACATTTCAATGGATTTTTGTTAGAATTAAAAAATTAAGCATAAGAATGTTTGGCAAGCTTATAGGAAAACCAATATCCAAAATGCTTTCTCAGCAAAGGCTCAAGATCAAAACCATAGAATCTCTTACTGTGGACTCTTCTCTATATGGTGTAGTTTGTATGTTAAAAAAAAAAAAATGGATAAAATTCACAACCTTGTATTACATTAAATTTAAAATGATTTAATAACCCTGGGTCAGAACCTGCAACATTTAAATCGCAAAATCCACTTGGTCAAAAAGCTCTTCCTGAGATGTAATGGTACTGAATTTAAACCCCAAATCCATCAGAAATGGGAGTAAGTGAGCAGAGGTAGTTCTGTGTCTATTCAGAAGAGAAGATGCTTATTAAAGCATTTGACATTAAAATGTACATATTATACTAAAGATCAGAGAACTTGTAAAATATTTTTAATTCATCTCTTATTTCAAGACAAAACAGATCTGCAGACAAGAGAGTAACATCATCCACAGGTATCTCAAACCAAAATTAGTGCAATTTCTGCAGTTATTCTCTGCTAAAAGAAACATTACATTATCTTCGTAGAATGGTTTTGATTGAAAACCTGAAGTTTTATCGTCACAGGGAGCCCAACTTATCCTATTGCAGCACACTTGAAAGTAATTCCAGCCCAAACTGTAACTGAGACACCCCATTTCATCAGTTGCTAAAGATTTGTTATACCCTAAGTAAGAACCAGGTTAGGAACTAAGAGAAGAGTCATATAACTGTTTTATCTTCTAGTTCAAGTAATACCAAGAACAAGTCAGTCCATCAATTTATGAAAATTTTGCATTTTGTGGTAAGACACTCGCCTAACATTTCAGAATGGACATTTTCAAACCCATAAATATTTTATTTCTA